GACACACAACTTGCGTGAGTGTTTTGAGTGGCAAGAGTATATAGCTCGTGACGTCACACTCTGGAACAGATGATCAAATGTCAGCGTGAGCGAAGAACAGTGCTTTAATTAACCCCTTCACTGCTGTGTCTTTAACACCTTCCCTGCTGTACCTTTAACCCCTTCACTGTTGTGCCTTTAACCCCTTCACTGTTGTGCCTTTAACCTCTTCTCTGCTGTGTCTTTAACTCCTTTCCTGCTGTGAACTTAACTTTAACATCTTCACTTTTGTGTCTTTAACCCGTTCCCTGCTGTATCCAATGGAGTATTCACTTGTGCTCTCCAAAACAAGGTCACAGACATTTTTTTTCTTCCAGTAGGTTATTGAGGATTTCTTTTTGTTGTTGGGGGAGAGAGGGGTGTGGATGTACTGTAGTACTGTAGTTACAACTCGTACTGTTGCCTCTTCAGAGTCTTGATCAGTGGAAAGATATGATGGCCTTGTTGACACCTCTCTTGATGAATGGACATTTGTATCTCGCCTCGGGAAACGCCTGAACTTATGTGGAAACGCCTCAAGACTTAAAGGGTCTGCCTTCTGTGGGAGGTCGCAATATGAGGCAATATTTCTGGACAAGTTGCCACAGTTGTCTTGAATAAGTTGCTAAATTTGTCTTGACGTGAACAAGTTGCCACAGTTGTCTTGAGATGAACAAGTTGCTACTGACGTCTTGAACAAGTTGCCACAGTTGTCTTGACATAAACAAGTTGCCACCGTTATCTTGAACAAGTTGCCACAGTTGTCTTGAACAAGTTGCCACAGTTGTTTTGACATGAACAAGTTGCCACCGTTGTCTTGAACAAGTTGCCACAGTTGTCTTGAACAAGTTGCCACAGTTGTTTTGACATGAACAAGTCGCCATAGTTGTCTTGAACAAGTTGCCACAGTTGTTTTGACATGAACAAGTTACCGAAGTTGTCTTGAACAAGTTTCCACAGTTGTCTTGAACAAGTTGCCACAGTTGTCTTGAACAAGTTGCCACAGTTGTCTTGACATGAGCAAGTTGCCACAGTTGTCTTGACATGAACAAGTTGCCACAGTTGTCTTGAACAAGTTGCCACAGTTGTCTTGACATGAACAAGTTGCTACAGTTGTCTTGACAGGAACAAGTTCCAACTGACGTCTTGAACAAGTTACCCCAGTTGTGTGTCTATGTAGATCGCCAAGGTTAGTGTACATGAAGTGTGTTGTGGAATTTGTTGGGGCGCATCCATGGCGTTCTTTACTACGCTATGGGCGCATCAAATGGTCCAATTCTCGTTCGTCTTCTTCAAATAGTACATTATTGTAACAGAATTAGACAAATTAGACATTTCGTCTTAAGTAGTAGTAGTAGTAAGATAATGTACTGCACTAAATAAAACTGGATGTGTGTATTTGTGTGTGTGTGTGTGTGTGTGTGTGTGT